GGGGTGGGCCCGGCCCGGGGGGCTGCCGGGTGCCCTCAGGCAGCCGTTACACTAGGAGGCCTGACTTCAACCGAGCTGGCACTTAACTGCTGGTCGTGAGCCGGCAGCCCTTGCCAGCCAGGCACGGCAGAGCTTAAACCACTCCGACTACGTTTGTAGGAGCCCTCTGCTCCCTGATAACCAAACAACAACAGAAATCCCCAGCCTCGCTCTCCCTGCCCCGTAAGGACACACGTCTTAAACTCAGCCTCGCCCGATGGGGGCTCATGCCTTCAGCCACCAGCAGTTACACAAAGCAGCCACGGGCCTAAGGCCTGTTTCTGTCAGCCACAGGCCCCAAAGTGCTTCCAAGCTCCGCAACGCACTCCAGGCTGGTGATAGGAAACCTAGGCTACAGCTTCCCCGGGCAGGGAGAAGGTTAAAATCAAAAAGTCAGCAGGGTCCTCCATCAGGGACTCACTGTGGCCCTCAGACAATGTTGCGTTGGGCAGAACTGCTTCCTTTAGCTGATCCTGATGGAGTCAGTGGCCGCAGGGTCTCCCAACTGCATGAGGAGTTGTCAGAGCCATGCCAGGTGGCTTCTCGTTTCCCCTCTTTATTGCCTCTTCTCCCTTTCCTTATCCCCCTTTTTCATGGCAACCTGTAAGACACATAATGCAGGAAAATCCTTTCAACCTTGAATGCTGTTAAATGGAAATTAGGTTCACTCACCACTGCCATCTTCACTCAGTCCTTTTTAGTGCAAGTTTTGAACCCAACTCATCCTGTAGATTATCACCAATAAGTCACCTGTGTAAGTCTCACTCAGACATAAAGTAATGCTGAATTCTGACTCCTCACACATAGAGCATAGCATGTTACACCTCCTCAGCATGAAGACTGTGCGACTACTTGTGACCTTCAACCTAACGCCCTACCCATTAAGTAGCAAGTCTGAGAACAACTGTCTGGTATCCTTCAGTAGGAGGGAACGTGCTGGCCGATACAAAGACCTTCCTGTCCCATCCCATTCTTCCAAATTCTTCAGTTCTATAGTGATGAATGCTTCCTCTCCCATCTGAAACGCAGACTTTGTATAGGGACATGACAGATTTACAGCGGGCCATCTGATGGACCTACTCTTCATTGCGTGATCTGCTGGAGCCCTGGCAGAAAAATAGCCTGAACGTGAGACTGTTAGCAGAGTTTACAAAGTTTTACCTTCCTCAGCTGTCTGCTCCACCTTTTTGCTGGGCATTTCCACTCCCATGGCAGAAGTGACAGGACTGAAGGGGTGCTACCTCCTCAGCAGCCATAATTCATGATCTAACATTAGCTAAACCATGCATGAACTACAGGGACTGAAATGCTAGTATTCCTTTACTGCCTACTTATCAGAGACATCAAACTCTCAGAGAGTTTGTAAATTGGACTTGTAAATTGTCTAATGCTCACAGTCAAAGCCTTGCATTTTCCACAGCTGAAATAACTACACAAATAGTCACTCAAAACTTGAAGAAGAGGTTTTAGCAAAGGTACATTTATTTTCTCACAGCTAGGACAGGCTGAGTTCACACATGGTTAGTTCTCTCACTCGCTCTGTCTCCTGCTCTGCTGAAGTGACAGGCAGTAACTAGTGTGCCACCAGGAATGAATCATATTGCCTTGAAAAGGGGAGGGATACAAGTGGCACTGGAAAGCTACAGTTCCTTTCCTTAGATAGACCTAAGCCTACCCTGGTTTTGAGGGCGGCCCACCGAGCCATTCAAAAATTAACAGGTGGACATGGTAGCAGTAATGGTTCAGTGAGGTGTCATACTGCTTTGTGGAACAGGCACACAGTTCAGTAGACTATGCTCCTAGGTTATCCTGTGTGCATAGCCCTGTCACAGTTTCCAATGATATCCAGGGAATCTGTGGCACTGCTAACTTCCAAGAGCTTCTAAAAGAACGTTGCTATGAGGAAAATCAAGGCCTCGTAAGAAATGCCCTACTGAGTCGGGTAGCGCTCTGGCTAATCCGGTGGCAGTAAGATTTACTACTTAGGGAGAGCAAGTGAGTTGTTAGCCGCTTTCTGAAGTCTGTTCGCCTTCCTGCTTCGCCAGCATCCACAGCTGTCCTGTTGTACTCATGTTGGTGGGTTCTACTTCATTTAGCAATTCTGTTAGACTAGAGTAACATAAGTGTGTACCTATGGTACAGTAGGAACACTGATAACCTGGATAGCACTAGTATACATAAACTGACAGACAGCATAACCACTAGCATTAGCTATGTTTATCCATTAGCATTCTCTTTTGTTTGCCAGTCAGGAGTGGATCATACTAAGCTTATGTGCTATCCTGTCTTTTTTCTACCAAAGGTTTCTGTCATTGCCAAGTCAGCCTGATTTTGCTGCTCTAATAGTGCAAGTTTCAGTGTTGACTGGACGTTCATGTTATAGCGGCTGTACCATCTAGACGTGAACTCCATAGTGATGCACATTATATTACTTTATACCCAGTATGAAGATGACAACATTTGGGTCCTCTCCTTCCTTCATCGCAAAAAGAGTGCCAAAGATGGAATAGCATAAGGAAAAAGCACAATACTGCCTTAGATCAAAAAACAATCCTTGGCATGCTGAGTGAGGACATACATTACAAGAAGAGTCCCAAGCTCAATCCTAGGTATGATCAACAATCTTTCTAAATCTAAATCATTTCTAATCTAAATGTTTAGGACAAAGACACACAAATCATCTTTTATAGCCAAAGCCATGCACTCAGAGGTGCACAGCCTACTTCAGTGCCCTGAATGATTCTGTTCTGTAAGTGCCATAAGCATCCCTTGCTCTCAGTGGAGCAAGAAAGTGACTTACTACTGCAACATTAGTTTGTTAAGTTAATGTAAATGTTTATGGAAATGTTCTTAGCACCTCTCCTTTGTGGTGCGTCACAAAACTACATCTTTTACAAGAAGGGTTTGGGGTTTTTTTGTCTTTTTTTGTTTTAATTCAGATGTAGGAAGGGGGGAGCCATTTTCATTATGATTTTTGGGTTGATAACACTTCCATCCTAAGGTTCTTTGCAAGTACTAATGGACTGCTACTAATGCATAGCATATCTTTCAAGAAGATATTTTGCAAAAGGAGAACTGATGTAAGAGGGATAAAAAATATTTGCATAAATACTTGCTACTGGCAGGAGCAGACTTGAAATTCAAAGGTGATAAGTATCTGTAATTTCCATGAAAGCTGCGGGCTAGTTCAACTGAAAACAAGAACCACAAGATCGTGATGCTTTCTTTAGTATTAAGTCAAGATAGATTATATTTATGACCTTCAGCTTTTTATTTATCTCTATTTTTTTTTTATTTTTAAATAGAGAGGCTTTTTGGCTCATCTGAAGAAAATACAAAGAAAAAAGTTAAGCTGATGTTCTCTCTCCCAAGAACAGACGATGAATAAGCCTAATCTCATACAACTAGAGGATCACTATCAGATTGCCCTGATTTTTCGGTGAAAACGTTTCTGATCATACAATGAATCACAGAGTACCTTGTATCAGATGTTGCTGACACAGTGCTTTATAATTTCTTAGTTCTGGAAACATCTGATAAACTTGGTAAGTGTAATTATGTAAACAGATTTTCCCCAGGGCTTATTTAGACAAGGAAAACAGAAATTGGCTTTAACTATATTATAGAAGTGCAAAGCTGTAACACAGATTATACAGAACACGCGTTACCACCAGCACATCTTCCAGTTTCATCATCCTTAGGTTTTGTCCACGCTACTGGTCTTTGCTATTGTAGTTGGGCAGGAAAAGTCTTCCACTATGGACATGACAGCAGCATACAGTTTTCAGCCAGTATATTACACTGTCCTACTAAATACAAGCTAAGCCAGCAAACACTTTTTAAAGGCACGTTTCGTGGCATAATGATAATATCAGGAAGGGAGAGAGGCTTTCTACCCCCTTCTTTCCTAACAGTTTCCCAAAAGAATGGGGAGTTACACATCTAACTTCCAACTGCAGCAGCACATATTAAAAAGATAGAAGAGGAGCATAGACCGAACCAAGTCAGTCTAGAAAACTTAACTGGAGAAAAAGATGCTTGAAGTTATGCTCACACATAAATTTAGAGCTTATACATCTAATTCACTCTTTTTGCTTACGCTCACAGTACCAAAAAAGAATGTGACCTTAAATAAAACTTGAAGTTGTTAATGAAGTGTCTCTGGAAAGCAGAAAAAAAGTGGCCAAAGCCCGAATTCAAAACATTGATTCCAGACAGAAATTAATAATGGAGACATAAAAAAGCTTTTCTGGATACAACCAGCACTCGAGAGTTAGAAAAGATGCTGACAAATGAGGGAGCTTATGCAATATTAGTTTCAGACAGTTATCAGGTGTTACATAAAAATATTTTTTATACTTTTAGTTAAAGAATGTTGGAGCAGCATTTTCCTTCTGATAGCCTGCACTATGTAATCTAGTAGCTGGAAGCAAAAGCCTATTGTGTTCCTGTTGCCTTCAACACTAGCTTTCTTTTAGGAAAAAGAATGTCAGAATCGCAAAACAGATTTTAAGCAAGGCAGAAACGTGATATGAGCAAAGTTCTATGCCTCTTACTCAAAGGCTTCTCTATTTTTTTAGGATGGATTTACTATCGGGTCTAGAACTTGAAGCAAGACAATACACTTTACCAAAGCATACTTACACCAGTTTGGAGGGTCTAGCCTACACACAGTTCAACTGCCCTCATCACAGCCCATGCAGAACCAAGCCTTGTGATTCAAGAACAATGTGGTTTGTCTCTAGTGACCCTTGGAGGGCAGATGTTAATATTTTAGCCAAAAAAAAAAAAAAAAAACCTTGGCGTGCTAGACCAGACAAGGCCTTCATAGAAGCTTGCTACACATTAAATTGTTATGTCATGATTAGGCTTTCAGAGTCCCCTGCTTTCACTAGGCCTTGCCCCATATTTACCAAGTGCTTACTCAAGCAAAGTAGGAGGCTTGGAGAGTTTTGCTTTAATATAGCCCGAGACACTATTTGCTGTTAGAATACGTACAGTTGTTTGAGAACAGTTTATATATAACTTTCTCATTAGGGCAGACCTAAACAGAACAATAAAGTCATATACTTGATTATACAGGCAAAGGTTTAGGTGGCATAAAATCAGGCAGAAATGTAAACTTTCTGCCCTACTCTGAACTGACAGTTTCCCAGAAGAATAAGTTACACATCTGACTTTAAACTGCAGCGGCACACACATCATGTTATATAGAACTTTAAATATACTTTTTTAAATCAGTATTAGAAAGCTACCTTCCCTCCTCCAAACACAAGTCAGAAGTTGCAACTTCACAAAGGATTCTACTAGCAGATGACCAGCTACTACAGTTCTCTTACTCCAACCCTTTCTATCTGCATACACCTGGATCTCACCTCTCAGCCTTTAAAGACTTTAAAAGAATCATAGCACAAAAAAAACCAGAGGCCTGTACATGCCAGAGAAGACCTTCTTCTAAAGCTGCCACTACCTGATTGCTAAATTCCCTCTTCTCAACATTATGACTTCCCCTCTAGCAGGACCACAGGCTCTTCTTTGTTTTAGCACAGACTCCATAGCACCTTCTGTGAAACTATTTCTTTTCTAGGACTAGTCTTACCTATTCCTCCTCTACTTAGGAAGGCTTCTCTCTAGCCTCTATCTGAAATCACTTCACCTGTACATCCCACACAGCTGGTCCTTATAATAGCTGTTTCTAGCAGGCTGACCAATTACAGTTGGAGGAGGCAACAAGCTCTTTTCCAGGCTGTTGCCATGGAGTGGATTTACATCTCAGAGGTTCCTGCTATAAATAGATTCGTATATCAGAGATTGTCTCTTTCACATCCCTGGTTGACCAAACTATGCTGACAGAAGTTTTTAACTTAATTGAGACACTGACCCCCAAGACCACAGTGTTCAGTGATAACACGGATTTCAGATATTCATGCTTCCTTCCATTGCCACTGTTTGCTCATTCCAGCCCTTGGCCACACTGCTCTGCTTTTGCAGTTGTGCGATTTCTTTGCTGTGCCATTTTTTTTTCTTTACTGGCTAATTTTTAACTTGGATCAGCAACCTGATCTGGTTCATAGGGCAATCCCACAAGAGAAGGGTGAGCGCAACTGAGAGAGCTGGTAGAAGTAGAAATAAGTGACCAGAGGAGAAAATGCTTCAGACGACATTGTGGCCAAATGCTTTGTCATGCAGAAAAGTCTCTAGGATTCCTTTTATTGAAGAATTGGCCATTACTAAAATTGGACATTGCACCTCACTTGCTGTTTGCAAGCTGTAATGCTTGTAATGGGAAGTTTACTGGTCTTAGGGCAGAGACCAGATCTTTGTTGTTTGCATGTGTATACATGTTGGGCATACAGTCTAGGTTTCTACAGAATGAACAAATCATAGTTTGAATACAAAGTGTGTAACTCTTAAATAGCTGAAAAAAGCCCCTAAAATTCTGAAGGCTAGAGCTTAGAAGAAAAGGTGTGAGCTAAAGGAGTGCCTTCAAGTTACATGTTCTGTCAGTACTACCTAGCTTCAGTGCTTTTTAGATAGTAAGATTAATTGCTCGAACTGCAACTGTTGTGAATCACAGCTACTCAACTGTGATGAGGTTCTGACAAAAACGAAAACAGTGCTGGCTCTGATCCGTGAATCCTAGCAACAAAGAGCACAAGTAACAAAAAATCTGCACTTAAAAAACAATTTAAAAAACAAACACAATACCCAACATTATTGGTTCTAAAGCAAAGCTTCATCTAATGATAAATGATAAATGTTTTTTCTGACTGATGCCATATATTCCAGCTAACAGTTGTGATGTGCAGATGTCCACAATAAAACTGAATTCACTTCAGCAGAGTTATTCCTGACTTTTATAGGCATCAGAGCGAAATATCCATAGAGAAATGTTTGCATAGAGTAATCTATAGCTTTGCAAGCATTAAATACCTCAGGCTAATTCCACATGGTGACTTAAGATAAAGTAGTTATCTTAGAGTATGCCAGACTACAAATAGGCAGCATATAATTATGGTATGGTGCTAGGCGGTGTATATGATACCCTATGATTCATTTGGGAGAGCATGTGCGTGTGTATGTGGAAGGGATTAACTACCTCTACTGCTAAGTGATGTGCTCCTGTACATTTTATGGTTTAGTTTGTCTCATGGTCACGTGTTTGGTGCCCATAAACTAAAAATGCTTTTGTGCAAAGCAGCTTTGCTCCACTTTGAATGCCCACTGCATCTCACCTAGTGTGTACTTTGGCTGTGTCTGTTCTGCTGTGCGTGAGTGAGTGGCCTTGCAGACCATGCAAGCCTCTGCCTCGCTGAGTATCGCTTAGGGCTGCTTTAAGGGCAGACAGGCAACAGCTTTCATGGAAAATACATGGGTTTGCCCCACACTTTACAGCCTGTTCAGAGATGATCATATGTCCTGTCTAGGACATATGAGTGGCATCTCACAGTCAAGACAAGTCTTTGGGTTTTTTTCTTTCCTAGATGAGTCCCAGGGTTATTTTTCACCAGAGCAGGTGGAATTTGTGCAAAACAAATTAATTCAGTTCAGTTTTGACTGTGTGCAGTCTTTTTAGAGAGAAACAGTGAGTATGACGCTGATGGGTCACAGGAGTCCTCTTGGCTTCAGGGTGTTCGCAGAGCCCTAAAGCTTGACTGTGATGCTGGCACAACTAGAGCCCCACAGACATACAGAGGAGCTGCTATCCTGCAAACACCACCATGGCTTACTCTGCAGACACAGCCCGACTGATGAAACTAGGCTGTCATCCACCTACTAAAGGTAAGCAATATCTTCACTTTAACATCCTTCCTGATTTTCCTCCAGTGCTTACTGTGTGTCACTGGGCGTTGCTGTCCTGGCAGCATGTAGCCTAGATCTAGGCTACAGCTAACGGCGCAGTTGTCTCATACAATGCCTTAGAAAGGCAGAAAGATTTGAACTCAGTAGTGACCAAACCTATGGCTCCTGAGCAGTTTATGTACAGTTCCCATGCTGGGGCTAATTATCTAACTGGCAAAGTTGTACTAGTGTACGGAGTGCTGGGTAATCAGAATATCTGTCTTTGAGAGAAGGGAAAACAGCGGGAATGAGCCAGCCTAACCCCATCCTGTAATGGAGCTGTAGACCCCTAGGCAATTGTTGCTGTTTCTAGCTTGTGACCCATTCCCAGAGCTCCTTTCTGCTTGAGTCTCCACATTAAATGATGTGTAACCTGTGGGTCTTGGGCATATGAGGGTTCTGATGGCTGAAAACATCTTATGTAAAAGGAGCAGAAATATGAAGCTGCACTCACAGATCTGAGCTCACATTTTCCCTCAGCTGTTTATTCCTAGTCCCTGCCTTGCTACTTCATAGGGAAGATTGTTTTTCCGTCTTAAGCATCATCCTCCACTACAAATCTTCCCATTTTTGCAGTATGACCCACTGTCATCAGCCATCTCATTTCTCCCAGACACAGACCCTAGGCTGATTAGCAGTCAGCATGTCTGTGTCTCTGTTGAAAGAAAACATTTCTAGCAAGGCATCCCATCACACCCACTAAACCTGCAATTTTGCTTGCAGTTTGTCTTATGATATGGGCGGAGCAAATGGGGAGCAGAAAACAATGTTTCCAGTTTATAGAGTTTTCAGATAGCTGCATTTGCGCTGAAAGGACTGATACTGTGCTTTGATCCATGCTGCAACACACTGTGGCTTGCTAAAGGTATTGCTAAAGGAAGTGATGAGGCACAGATGACGTGATATCTGCGAAATAGCACCTTGCAAGTATGTGGGATAGATGCATGGTGCTTTGTTGGGGTGCTCTGGGTGTTGGGTAATCTCTGGACCAAGAGGCTGGCCTCCCACAAGTGGCCCTGTAATGCAGCACAGTCAGTCTCTCCCAGTACCCAGGGCGGGTGAGCAGATAGCTGGATGCATTGCAGTCTGGGTAAAGAGGTGGCATCGCACATGCCAACCTACACGCTGCTTCATGTATACTGGTTAATCCAATGCAATTATGTGCTTGCTCCTGAGTCTGATTGAATTTGTTCTGCCAAGAAAGCTGACCAGATACAGATGCAGTATTAATGATTATAGAACTGAGGCCTGACACCGCCTTTATGGGTTATGGTCTGTAAGTACCAGGCAGGAATGATGTTTCCCGAACGGTTCTAGCTGTTGCTTCAGCCTACCCCTGGCAGAGCCTGCACCGGGCTGGGCTCAGCTCCCTTGAATGTTTTCATTGGCCAGCGGCCAAGGAGGAGCTGACGGTTATCATGTAATGATGTGAAGCAGATGAGAGTACCTTCAAAGCCAAAGTGGTAATGTCTTTATCCACATCACCCGGACAGTTACATAAATGTATGAGTGGTCAAAGTAAGTCCCCTTCCCAGCTGCCAAAGCCAGCTGAAGTTGGAGATGAAGCTGGAGGATGTGGCCAAATAACAGTGTTACAGAACCGCAACCACTTTCTTTTAGACCTAACAAAGTAAGAACAGCAGTATTCCTTATGGTATGCAGCTTGTTCTCTTTCCTTTACTGTAGACCTCTGCTACAAATATCCAGGTCTCTCCCGTCCAGTGTTCAGCTATGGGTTTCAATAAACAATTCACATGTCTTTATGAATGTTGCAGCAGGCGATGTTCTGTGTTGATATCAGTGTAAATTACTAAGGAATGAAGAATACAAGGGCACAGAGCAGAGACATTCAAGGTAAATAACACTACACATGTTTTAAGTCTGCTAAGGATCTTGACAGGAGAAGATATGTGAATTAGGGAAACAATGGAGGGCCATTAGATTTGCATTCATGTGGGGCTCTGTCATTCCAAGGTAGCAACTTATGTCTTGGCTCTCTTATCAGTACAGGAGGTACACTCTTTTATTTCAGTTAGCTGTTCTGGGCTTAACTTCTTAATGTTTGAAAAAGGTTGTGTAATTCTTAAATGGAAGATGATAGTAAAGGACAAAGTGATATCCTAAAATGCATAGGGTATGAGTTCTTGGAGGTTAATGGGTTCAGAGCAGTTAACTCCAAAGTTAATTGCCCAGACTTTCCAGGATTACTTGAAAATATCACATAACATGGAACATACCGTAATAACTCCTATCTGAAGCTCCGACATTTGGCTGACTTGAATCCAAACATCCAGAACCAATTAGAAAATGTAAGCAGCATGAATTACCTCTGATTTTATCAAACCTGTTCAATTGTTCCCACATAAAAAGTGGGGGAAAAGGCAGAATTCTTTTTTAATGGGAGATCTCCAAATGAAGGGGCTCTTCCAGCAGACTTAAAGAGGAGTCAGGAAGGAAGCTGTCATAGACTTCTACTGTGGCTGCATCACAGTTCTCTTTTCCAAGCCGAAAGTACAAAACGTAGCCACAAGAGGGAGGCAGGAGAACTCGTATGGGTCCTGGTACAGTAACCCCAGCTGAAAACAAAACAAAACAGAAATGCGTTTTCTAAACTTCCCTCTTTGTGCTAAAATGATTCAATAGCAGCCTCATTGACAGCAATGATTGCTGACTGACTACCACAAAATTGTGTTCATAATGTATAATAAATGTTAAATGATTAAATACACTGATAACAGATAACTAGTACATCTTTTGATTAAACCTAAAAATTAGGTAAGAAATTACTTCATGACAGGCTGAAACTGATTTTCAGGTGCTTTCTTGGGGTGGAAAACAAATTCTTTCCTTGCTTTAAGGGATTAATTTCAAGGGCATATAGTTATATTCCTGTCAGACGCTAATACAGAAGGATTACTTTATCTTAGGAGGGAGACTTTTTGTAACAAATTGCTTTTTTAGGAAATACAGCAGAAGATGTTTTTAAACACCTTTACTTCCTTAGTGTCTCAAAGAATATACAAGGCACGATCCTCCCGTGCTGCTAAATACCTCTCCTGTAACACACTTCCACCATACAGAAGGAATTCCAGGTTCAGTGAGCACAGTGGCGAAAGATACTTGTCTGGAGGGAGAGGGCAGGTCTGGACTCTAGTTCCTGCTCCAAGGACTATTTCCATCATTTATTCAAGAGCTGCAGAAACTGCAGTGAAGGGTTGACATACCCAGTTGGTACTCTAAACTCCTGGAGCCTTTGCTCAAGCCTTTCTTGAACTGTCTCTGCCTCTGGCAGGTGGAAAGCCAGCTGTCCCATCCCTCAGGGTAGCCTCATATGAGGAGGAAAAGGGAACCAAATCCCATTCTCCTACTTCCAGTGCAGAGCTCTAACCACTGAGGGAATTTATAAGGATACAAACCATGATGAATGTTCTGATCACAACGGCTGATTAGACCTTTCAAGAGAGAGACGTAGGAAAATGCTTGGCCTGAAAATCCCGGTCAGACTTAACTTTAACCTTGCCAAGAATGAGGTAGTTTGAGGCATGCACAGGAGCTACGCTTGAAGGTGTTCCTGGGCATCTTTCATGGAAATTTATGCAACTGCATGGGAATTCTAGCCGCTCCCAAATGAGGCTGCGTGGGCATTCACAGGATGGGAATACTGAGCTCTGCTGCTCAGACTCAGACTTAGCTCCACCAGTGTACTTTTGAGGGGCCTCCTGTTTTTCAAAAGAACAGCCAAGAAAGAAAAAGCTCAGCTTACTAGTCTTTTCACCATATGGTACATATACCTCTATGCATGTCTATATAATACACATGTATGCTTTTGATAGTAAATAGACAGTAGTTAATAGCTATCCTTTATCCATCTCCACCATTTTTTACTGGGGGGACCCTTAAAGCACTTTATGAACATAAATTTAAACTCTGTTTGGACAGGGCCAACTCTTACTACCCTCATTTTACACAGTCGTCATAGGCCACAGCTTTAAAAGTAGCTACTGCTAAAGGTGCTAGAGTAATAGCTGCTAGAGTTTGTGCTTTTCAGTGCTCAGCCTGATTCTGTGGGTGGATGTGCACGGATAGCTGTGGAATACTCAAGAGAGTAGTCAACACCACTGAAAATTTTGTCTGTTGGCTTTTTTTTCAACTAAGCACAAAATAAATTGAGGTAGTCAACACTCACACCTAATTTTGAAATCTTGGGCCCAGCTGATATTCAGTGACTCACAAAGGGGCCAAATTCTGCATGGATTTACAGTCCCTGAAAATCAGTGAGAATTATTTTTCATTGGATTTGCCTTATGGAGCTGGTCACTAGTCCAGGAAAAATAGGCAATCCCAGCTCCCTGTGCTTTCCAGTGACCACTAGAGAGCAATAGTCCCTTAGCCTCAGCCTCCAGTGAAGCTGTGGAGGGTGAATGCAGAGCTGAACTCCTTGTTCAAATCTGCAATTCACTTCTATAGGTAGGCCCCATACCACGAACCCATAACTTATCATGCAGAAATATCACATTCAAATTACATTTTACCATCCTAGATATTTTAGGTCCTCTGTTACTGTACAATTTAAGAACTGGTTTTTGACAATGTGGTTCAGTTCCAAATCCAATTATATTTGCTCACAAATGTTTCAATTTTTCCAAAGATTTGTAGTTATCTTTTTACTGCCTATTTTTCCATTTGTTCCCAGGGTCAGTTTTTGTACTCAAGCATGACTTGCGACTCAAGTCATGTTTTTGGCCTAGTTTCTGACTCCTCACACAACTTCATGAGGCAGTAACACACATTCTTCTCTGTTGAGATTGTAACTTCAGCATATCCTATTCGGCCACCCTCACTCCCCTGGTTGTTCCTCTCATGCCAACTGTCACTTCCTGACTGCCAGGGACGTTTCTTCCTCCTGTGCAAAGGATAGATAACAGCTTGGGGGAAAAGAAAAAAAAAAGCCTGCTGACTGCTGCAGTCCGGTTCAAACAAAATTTTGATTCAAAGAGAGGTGGGAAGAGAGGAGGCCACGGTGGTTGAGCTGTAATTATCTCTTAATTGAAAGTTGTCTGCAATTTTGCTTTTCTTTCTCTTGACAAGAAGACAGGATTCCTGTGTATTTCTGTCTGCTTCTGTGAGCTGACATGGAGTTTTCCCCTTTTACTCCCTTACTATATGAGTGCTCTCTGTGTGACTATAAGTTGCTGAACTGACTATGCCCTAACACGTCTCTGCTTCCATACAGAAAAGCATGTTTCCTTTGCCATTCTGCATATGGGAAAGCTTTTTCAAAGGAGGGTCTCACCCTCCTGAAAATTACTGAAATTTACTTTCTGAAGTAAAAAAAATTTACTTTTCTGAAGCTGAAAATTACTTTCAGCTGTATTCACACTTATTCATCCTATCCCTTCAGAAGCTCTTAAAGCTAGGCTGACTGCTTCCAGTTTATCTTCAGCCCCTGGGGCAGCTGCAACTGGGAGGCAACTGAAGGCTCCGGATCGAGGGAAGGAACAGTCTGCACTAACCCCTGAGCACCAGCTTGAAGTACAGCTGCAAGCAATGGTAGAGATACCCCCCCCACCACCAGGCTTTGCTGTTCCACAATTCAGAGTCAAGAAAAGCACTTTTTGCAGTTTATGTTCAAAATATTACTCCAAGTACTTTGTTTATATATGGCAGTTGCTCTTAGGCTTCTAAAGCTGACTATAAGGATAGGATTTTTTTCCCCGAGACTTCTGTGCTTCATGGCTCAAGTGCATCTGCTGTGATATAACACTGCAGCAGGGCTGCAGCAGGCTTCTGGGCAAGAGGCAACAGGCTGCTTCTCAGATCTTTTGCTTGTCCTCAGCTAATGTTTCAGCAGGTTTTGTCCTATTCATAAATTTCCAGCATAGCTAGATTAGTTGGTAAGGCAAATGGCAACTAAGAGCACTGGAAGAAAATTGAGGTGCTTTTTCACTCCAAACTCTGCTATCTCACTCTAGTGATGTCTTTTGTTTGGGCACACGTTGCACTGGCACTCTGACGTGTCCATATCTTGTAGGGGGATACTTTGGCTTGCCTTGAAGGACAGCGCTATTGCCAAGGAACTTTCAGCTGCCTGGTTTCACACTTTCTGCTTTTTCTGTAACTCTCCTTTTATTAAACTTTTTTTTGCATATTATAAAGCTATCATGGTCAGTTCAATCCTATCCTCCCAATTTGATACTATTAAATAAAGTAAATAAATTGATATTACTAGCAGCCACTGAACCTTCCTGTTCAACATTCTTTCTTCTGGCTGACTTGATTTACTTTTTGATTAAAGATCAGGAGGAATCAATCTGTCTGTGCTTCCATTTTCTTATACTGTAAAATGATTGATTTAATAACTATCAGTACTGCGGAGACATACTGGGGAGAACACAGTGAGCTCTCAGCGCTAATCTGAGCAGCCTTTATGATGGGTATCTGATTTTCTCTGGGTAATAAGATTGCCCAGCTCTTCAGGCTGACTCAGGGAGTGCTTCTAAAGAGAGCAGTGGACTGCACCTGGTCTCAGCAACTGTGAGAGAAGTGAGAGAAGTATGAAATGATATGTGGCTTATTCAAGTTTGAAGGCATACAAATAATCATAGTGCAGGACTCTAAATATTGGGACCTTACCCATAACCTCAAATACTCTAAGTATCTCCTTTGTGCTTCTGTTCTTGCTTTGGAGAAAAAAGAAAAAAAACAGATGATCACAGGAAGACGCTGCCCTCCCATGGATTCATGACCTTAGTGGTTAGAGAACAGAAGTGTAAGAGGTCCACTGAGCAGGAAATAACAACTGCTAAATTAGGGAGGAAAACTTCAATTCTCAAGTACTTTTCTCAATATGGCCTCACTCAAAATGTAGCATTCTCTTTGTATTATATCAGCACTGGTCCATATGTCTGTTACCTGGTTCAAGCTCTAGGCCTTCTTCACTTCCTTTGCAGATCATCTGTGAGCCTGGATGATCAGATGAAATAATCTCTGTCCCATACATAATTCCATTACTTCTAATTTATGTCCTTTCCTGTACCAGTCAAAGTACTTCCTTTTCCTCCTTTGAATTTTGGAGGGTTAGTACTGAGTGATCAGGATATATAGCACAGAGTATGCACAACTTCAATTTCACAGTGAAAATGTGGATATTCTGTTTCATCTTAACATTTATTTCAGTTTTCCCATAGTTCAAAACAAAAAATGACATCCCACTTCAACTGCTGAAATAAAACGAACAAAAAATAAACCACTTCCACAAAGTTACCCAGTGTATAGACTTTCTTATTTTACAAAACAAAAAAGGTAGGAACATGTTACAAAATAATAATCAAACCAGTCAATGTCAATAGTGCAAAGAATGAATTGCAAGTAAGATGAAAGGAGGGAGGGAAGGATGTAAGATGGAGGGAGGGGTGGATTGGTGGATGGTTAGATGGCTGAACAAAAAACGGCTAAGAACAGCTATGCCAGCTACTGGAAAATTTCATATCTCAGACAACTCATGATGTAGGTTTAATTTAAGCGGCAGAAGAGGGTAGGTACTTCATCAACTACTGATCTGTGTGTTCAGCAAGTTCTTGCACTGAGCAGTTCCAAAAATGAGTACAGCTATAAATATGAGCCAATAAGTCACTGAGAGGAATTTTTCAACCTCTGAAACACAGGTGACCAACAGGTCTTGGATGTCTTGTCAAGTAAATATGTCAGCCAGCAACCCATCAGAAAAGGCAAAATATTTCTGCAATGTTTCTTATGGAACTGCTACAATGAAGAACCTAAAATCTCTCTCTGCTTCATGGGATGACTAATTTTGACCTAAATAAAGTAGTTTTAAAGGACACAAGTATCATCGGGCTGTTACAGTATTTCTCAGCTGAATTCGCCCATTTTTTTCTGCTCAGTGGAGTATCTACAGTTAATAAAGGTAAGAGGAGTTCACTTAAATAAGCTCAGCTCCCCAGAGATGATGTTCATCTTTACCCCTTCTGATCAGACTGTTTACTTTTCTATGCAAAATTCCCTGCAATAGCTCAAGTCTTACCACAGTACAAAAATGAAATAAAACCATAATGAGAAATTGAAGGAAGGTTCAAAATAGGAATAGCTTCAGGGAATAAATGTATGCTTACCTTGAAGGCACACTTCCTGCATGGAGCATTTGAGTACTACAGAGTTTTCAAATGAACTAAAGGACAGTGATTATATCTTTCTCAAAAGGAGTGTTAAACAATGCAGTTAAAGAGATTCTTCCTCAAGATAAAATCATCCCTACTACAGGCACGTCTGTTGTCTAAATCCTTTCTGCTGCTCTAAAACTGACCAAACTCTCAGTTCTTTTCCCCTCCTCTCCATCAACAATCTGTCCAAATTACTGCCTACGGATGAAGAGCATATGGTTCATACACATATAGTTCATACAGTGACAGACATTATCTAACACTGAAAAGTTGGAACTGTCTAATCAAGCAAGAACAGTGGGACCCTCAAAAAGGGCAGTGGAATCCCAGTGTTCAAATGTTCAGTATTCAAAATGGGGCTGGACTGAAGAAAACATTCAGCACTCATACTTGGTGATATCAACATCAGATTTTTCTAAAGAATTTGGTGCCTCGTGCTCTTTTGAAAAAAAATCTAACCACTTACTCTAGTGCCTCAATGGGAAATAAGATCTTTTGAAGTATCTGGCCAAGGTGAATCATACCAAACGCTAGAAAATTCAGTGGCAGGAACATGGAAAGACACTCTTCAAAGACCAAAATGGATTAAAATAGTTTTTTTTTTTACAAGCCATGACATTCTTCCAGTTTTACCTGTATTGCCCCATTAAGCTTGGAAGAGATACTTCTGTTTTACAACTGTGTAAGAGAGATTAGAGTCAGACTTTCCAAACTTCTAATTAAAAAAATAAAGCGGAAGTGAAGAAGCATTAGAGAAATAAAGCAAACCCAGAAATATCCCTTATGTTCATCTTTTAATTTCCTGGGCATGAAATACTCTGTGGGTGGAGTATGATAGAGACTGAACAGTTTAGAATTAAAGAAAGATGGGAAATGATATATTTTGATTTTTTTCCCCCCTTTAAGGAGTACAATGTATTTTTGCTCATTTGCTATTATTTGTGTTTACAAGGGCTGGAGGAAAATACGCAAAAAGTCCAACACTGAGTAAGCCAGCTCCTTTGCATCTGCAGATCAGAGCTGGAAATCTCCTTAACTGTTTCTTTCACAAAGCTCACCCTTCCTCAGCAATATCTCAGAACACATTCAAGTCGGTACGGTTGATTTTCTTGCTGGTCCTTCTCAGAAACTGTGCTGTAAAAGCAGCAGAGAACAATAGGAAGAACACCCAGAAGTTCTTTGAATGACTTTGTACTGCAAACAATTAGTGAAAAGAAAGAACAATGAGAAGAAAAGTGAATTTTGTACAGAGGAGTTGCCATGAAATTCATCATAGCCTGTAACAGAGCTGACAGCATGAATTCAGATTTTTGCTGTTACACATTTCAGGATCTATTTAAATTATTAATTAATAAATAATAATTCTTAGCACTTTATCAGTAGTTTTCACCCACTGATCTCAAAATGCTTCATAAGAGTTAGTACCATTCTCCCATTTACAGAGAGATGTTGCAAATACTTGGTACTAATTGGCATGCTCAGAGATGTTCTCTTGCAGTGCAACAGTATACGCTCATTAAGAAGTCCTTGAAGGACTGAGACTTTTACTAATTTACAGCAGTGTAATTTTGCTGGTGCATGGCTGGGTAAATATACATCACTGAGTTGATCTAGGCCTGAAATTAAAAGGCATTCAGAAGTTCCCTATAATGTGCTTTAAAGTCTACCACTACAGGTTTTAGACTCAATGTAATTAATCTCATGTTTTATTGGGGACTTTAACCATTGTAGTGATTTTCATGGTGAAAAATTAAACAGTGAAAGCAGTGATGAATCAGAAGCGAAAATTAGTTTTCTGTTATGTGAAATGTAATATATTTTTATAAACCTTTTATAAAAAGTTTTCATTTTAATCCATTATGAGGTTAAATTACATTGCCAGGGCCTTCCAAATATGTGATTTTAAAGCCAGCAGTAACCTTTTAAAAGATAAATGGTTTAATAAATTACTTTTTTATATTTAAAATTACTTTGAGACAAAATATTATGCAAGTCATAAAAACAACTACAAAAACTAGATATTTCAAACACTGTTTTATCTGAATAATAATATATATGAATGAGTGATTTTTTTTTGCCTTCTGTATTTTTGTTAAAGAAGGTTTAAGACCTGATGTTACTTTTGGCTAAGGTAGATCTAAAAATCTCCACAATGGAAGCCCGTTTTAGTGCTGGAAAAAAGCTGAGTCTAAGTTAGCGGGTGTTTTATAAAGATAGTTGCACACAAATTACTTGTATTGTAGATCCAAAATAGAACATGAAAGTAATACTGTGTTGCAAGGACAGACAGTAATATTGTTTCGGCTTTTTTCAATGATCAACCACATTAACATTAAAAACATTTTCAAAAAAGAACGTGTTTTCCTTAAATATCTTTCTAGGCTAATCTTAGTAATGTCCCATCTATATCATCTCTATTATAACCACATCCTCTGTTACTAGCAGCTATAACCATGTTTAGTCAAGATAATAGACAGCCCAGACTAAAAAATGAAAAATTTTAGGAATTGCAGAAGCTTTCTTGTAACTTGTCCAGACCCAATGAAAATGTGCACTCTGACATGTTCTAGTTCGGAGGACAAGGCAGGAAAGGGTGAATAGAAGAACAGCCAGATGATCAGCTGTACTCTTGTTCATCTGCTTGACATTTACTATGTTTAAGACGCAGAGTTTGTTGCTTCTCCAGAACGATGTTCAGGATTTTCACTATGTTGACAATTTCAGAAATGAGACACTGTATCATTCTTTACTCAGTGCTCCCTGGGTTTTATTAGGCAGTTCAGAAGGAAATGAAAATGCCGACGACCAAACCAGCTTATCATATGCTTAACATAGGAGAGCAAGATTGCAAGTGAGATGAAGGGTGCTTTCTGATTTGGCTGTGCTGGTGGCCACACCATACTTCAGTGCAGAACCTAAACGGTGAGGAGGCAGTGAAGGTAAGCTTGACTGTAATACAAGTCAGTCTGTCTATACACCGACTGTACCTAAATCATTCCAGCAAAAGCCCATGGGTCCACTCCAAACAAACCACTGGTGAGCTTCTTTTCAAAGTATAGATCATCATGAGCAAAAATACTCAATGCTATGTGGAGCATTATTTTGAAAGTAATAATCCATACTTTTCAAGAACAATACCAAAATGCTGCAGTTCTTTTCTTCTAGGGCTGTTAATTCTACCACTCCTCTCTTAGGACTTGCAGACCGCTCTTTCACTGTGTGGCACATTCATTGAGGTTTTCGGCATCTTCTCCCTTCAGATCCTCATTCAAGCTTTTTTTCTGCTCTATTTCTACCTGGCAGGAGAAAAAAGAGGGAAAACATCTGTAATGAGAAAGGGGGAAACAAGAATCAAAAGTCTTCCTTAGTGCTGGTTTGTGTCCTGCTCAGATGAAGAAACTCTTGGTAAACTGAAAGGCCTGAAGAGAAATAGAGGAAGGAGAGAGCTGGGTTTGATTTACTATAAGATTTTTCAGTTCAATCCAAACAGGTTTATGATTCATCGGGGTCACGGAGTCATTTCCAGAAGAGACATATCATGAAGAGAAGAGGTTTCACATGAGTTTATATTCATTATCATCCCCAGTTTATATCCAACCCAGTCCAAACCCAGAACCAAACTTGCAGCGGATACGTGGCTTCCTAAGGGACAGCAGAACTTTTAAACTCTACAAAGACTGATTTATAAAGCAAAAAAGGTTCATTTACAAAAAGCATATCTACGTTTGTGTTCAAAATTTCAACACCTCCAAAAATTCAGAGATAATCTGATATTTAATTCTTAAAAGGGATACTTGGGAAGGTCAAATACTGTCTCCAGGGAATTTAAGAGACTAATAAAAATGTAATTGCAATTACTATTAAAAATAGTTTCCATAGGAATCTTCTCAATATCTCTCATCTTTGCTCTTAAAGAAGGCAGGTAGAACGCCAATTTCTCCACTGAGCAATCAGCTAACAAGCAAATTTTGGCATACTGAGATTCTTGGCAGGAATTACGCAGTGCATTTTCCCATCTGCTGCTCTCCTTAGGACAGGCAGGAAAAAGGAATATTTAAGCACAGAAAGAGTGCAATCCTTTTGTCTGCTGTAGCACTCCCACTGCAGCTACCATCAAGATCAGCAACACTCCCTGTTCACACTTACAGTTTATCAGCTCCTCTCCAGTACCTGGTTGTGTGTATGCTCTTCCTCCACAGCAACCGTGAGCAAGTTTATTCCATCTTCACTGAGGGATAATCCACTGCCTATTTGTCATGCGTCAAGAAGTTGCAAATGGGTAGCTACTTGCACAGAGCCTGACACGAGGCAAATTCATACCTCATCTGCTCATGTTATTGTACTTGTCTGCCCATGCTTTTCAAGAAAATGAAGTATGCAAAGTAACCACGGTGATCGCCAGATGCTCATTTTACCTTGTAACTGTAGTGTGCTGAATAGTTGACCCACTTCCTCACATCGGTCTTGTCCTCAACAGAGATGGACCGAACAGTGGCTTTGGATGCAGACGTAGTGGGCATGTCAAATTCCACATCGACATGGCGGACAAAACTGGAAGGCACTTCCCGGTCAGAGCCAAGCTCTAGGTGACAGAAGAAGCAGTGAGGATGGCCAGAAGCTGGAAAAAGAGAGCAAGCAGGTATGAAAGTTGTGTTGAATGGATCAGGAAAGACAACATCTAGGAAGCAGTGTCTCAAAACTGCAAGAAACTGAGAACCTGCCTTGGTGAATTAATTCATAGTAAATTACAGAATCTTACCTTTTCAATGCCATTGGAGTTTCCAGAGTAATTAACAAAATAAACTGTGAAAGTGACTGTCAGTCACGCGAGTTTGCTTTCAATGGACGAAAACACAAGATGTGAATCAAGCCGCACAGGGGTAAGGAAATTTCCCCTCTTCTAATCTCACCGGTTTATGTAACATGGTAAGTACACTGTGACACATCCTTCTAAAATGTCATGTGTCGATCGTAAGTAAAGGTGAGATGTGGCAGATATTTTGTCTTTATTTGAAATTGCTACCCCTTTTTAGTAAAAGAAACTATACTAGCTAATTTTACATAACTTTGCTGGGCCCAAAGAGCAAATTTGTGTGCAGTTAGGAAATAATGGTTAACTCCTTATTCTAACCCATCACAAGAGAACTATTCAGTAAGGAGGGCAAGGTGAGGAAGTACTCATGCTTAGTTCTGGTCATCTGTAAATGATAAGCTTTGAGGCTTTTCTTGCCCTTCATTTTGCTGGACAGCAGTGAGTTGTAAGAACTGGAGTAGGGACTGCTAGTCAGGCTGAGGCGGTTTTATTTCTGACAGCTGTCCACTCCCTAAGTTCTGAAGGAAGTCATTTATCTGTTCTCCGCCTCAGCTTCTCTATGAAATGAGGATAAGAGCTTTCAAAGTTACCTTGGGATTTCTGTTTGAAGGGATCCTATTATGTAAGTATGTGTAAATGAAGGTAAGGTATAAAGGAATTAAAGAAACCCTTGTCTGTCAGTGTTACAGGTGTTAGGATTTCTGACTGTTCATTGGGAAAGTGCTTCATACAGCTCAGCAAGGTGTACAGAAGCAACAGGCAAGAAAGGAGGAGAGAGGCAGACAGATGGGGAAAGCCTGAAAGCTCCTCCTGGGAGCAGCAGGAAATCACTTGAAAAACAAGATGTGGGATTCTGAGATATCATCCTGACAGGTAGAGACTGAGTGCTCTTCAGAGAGCTCAGGCATCACAACATCCCACTTAACCTCCGAAATAGAAATGGAAAAAGATTTCAACCTGGTGCAAGTCTGGGTGCAAATTTCATCCAGAGTGCGCTGGATATTTCCAGGCAATCTATCTGGAGTTTCCTCATGATGGGAAGGTTTAGAGACTTGTTTCTGTGCAGCAAATGCAACGAGAGGCTATGCAAGTTCAGCAGAGGCCACAGAGATAATGCAGCATCACAGCTGGAATTAAGTTATGAATGAGCTGGTAGAGTAGCAAGCAGATATAAATGCTTGAGTCCTGGAAGCATTAGAACAGTATTACCCGCTTTTTCTCAGGATTAATTATCCCAAGTGGAGTGTTGACTTAGTTGGCCTGGCTCTAGAGCAAGCTGAGATATCTTTATTTGACAGTAATAGCTGGAGAACACTGTTTTTCTGGATTAAAAGCAGGGATGCCCAGTAGACCTTTGAGATGATCCCACCCAGCACAGTCTAGCAGCAGCCCCAGTTGAAGCTGCTGTGCCTTGCATGGGGGCATTGCACCCCTCAGCACCACAGGGCTTTTGCTTCTGCCCAGTTCTTGAGACTGGCTGTGGAGGGCAGATAAGGGGAACGTGCAGGTCCCCCCTGCCGCTGCTGAACACTTTAACCTCTCTCGTGGCACACGCGGTGCAGCTGCACATGCCTGGCAATCACTGCTCTGTGGCACTGCATGATGAAGATGCCTAAAGATGAGTAATTCCTGGCTCAGAACCCCACGCTCAGAACTCGTGCACTGGTATCCAACTCCCATCCCTTCATCTCTGTTTCCTCACCCTGTCCCAGCCTCAGCAGACTCTTCATTGCAATCCGTCCTTCTCATCCGCTCTGCTATGGTTTTCCTTTCCCCTAATTTCTATCAGGTTGCTTCCTCCTTTGGACTGCCTGGGTCTCAGTGGAGACCCACTACACATGGGAAAAGCAGCTCTGAGCTCTGGCACAAGTTGCATCCAGAGCAGCCATTACAGAAAGTTCAGTTTCTACCTCCATACTCTTGACCTGGAGTGTGCTTAGTTGCTTTTTGGACAGATCCAAGTGAACACTAAGAAATGTTTAACGAGGCTTGAGTGCACCTAATGACAGTAGGTTCTTTGCTCTTAAAGGATCTGAGCTGTTAAACTCTTCAAAATTTCAATAAGACACATGCAAAGGGCAATCTTTCAGAGTCCTCTAACACATCTAAATATCAGTAGATTTTCACAAGCTCAGGCAAAAAAAAAAAAAGTACAAGCTCAATAGCAAAGACAAATAACATTGCCTGCCTGATGCAGAACACGGCAGCCCTAGTTCTGATAACTTTTAAATACGGGCTAAACTGTATTTTCCCCTAACTTCGTTCTCTGACATGGCCAAACCATTTGGGCTGAAACTCGGTTAAAAAAATTGCTCAAGGCAGGCATTCAGTAAGTAATACTTAAGCCTACATAGTTAACGTTAAGCAGAGCTGGAGGAAGGACCCTGAAGTGCAAAATGTGAGGATACCTTAGTAAAAGGCCATACTGTCTGTCCTCCTTGCATTACAGGAAAGCTTTTCAGGACAGAAGGTCTTACAAAAAAGACCGAGCAACAAAGTTCAGCAACAAAGGCTGGATGCGTATTAAGCCACAAAAGAGATATGATGGTGCATGTATTTGAAGTAATGTTTGCTGATTGTTTACCCAATGCCATCCACGTAGTCTGAAACAGACAAACACAGTCCCTGCTGTAAAGAACTTGTGATGTAATTTTTTTAAACCAACTGTAGTTTAAAATTACAAATAACCCAAACCCAAGAAATATAGTCAGTTATCACTGCCCTGCTGATTTAACTCCAATATCAAGGAATGTCTGAATTTATTTTTCAATTAATTTGATGATGCAATTCTTCAGTAATTTAATTTCTTCTAGTAGTATTACCCACTAACAGAAAAGACCAGGCACAACACTCAAAAACATACTGAAGTTGTTCATTTAAAACAGATAAGCATGGTAGGCAATCAAGTAAACTGATTAAGAAAGTAGCTCTTCCATCGAATCTATAGCCAAAATATTGAGCGTATCCTTGTCCATTAGTGTCCTGCATGTGAAGCGCACAAAGCACAACTTCAGTATACTCACTCTTTGTTCATCAGGCTCATTCAGAGCTCTTTCTCTAATGGATAGAGACACTTTTGTAGTAAAATCAAGAGAAGATCAACAGACTGATTTTCTTTTGAGCATCCTGCTTCCTTGAGCTACTAAAATTTCATCCTGACAATCAAGAATCTGATAATATTATACATATATATGCTTGGGCTACCATGATTGGAGGGAATCTGTTCCAGGCAACTCTGATGTCCCAAGAAGTTTGGATTTAAGGATTTAATTTACTCTACTGCAGAAAGTATACCAGGCAGCATGCCTGGGATCCACAGCTAAACTAGCCCAAAGTTCAAATGTCCAGATCCAAGGTAGCTTAGAGGCTACATCCCCACTTCATTGGAAGAGCTTTTTCCCACGACTGAGGACTGTATGTGGATGTTTTCCTAACGTTCTGCTGGTGGATAAAAAAAAAAAAAAAACCTGTGGAGCCCAGCCAGTTGCAACTGAAGCTCTGCAGAGCCTGTAAATAGGCCTTATTTATCAACTGCTGTGATCATATTAACTGTGAATAAGAGAAGGGCAATAAAGTTTACCAAGCTGTTTTGGAAAGGATTTCAGCAATGTGCTTAGTGAAATCCAGCCCATCGTTGTTTCTTAGGTCAAATCATAGGCAGAGTACACACAGTCCTTTGTTTGCCATATGCTTTTGAATTTCTAGTCATAAGCAGACACCTTGGCTACAAAATAATACAGGCAGTACTGATAACAAGTTCCTAAAGTGAGAGAGCAAAGGGCCCCGTCCCATTGGAAAGCACAAAGAGAAGATGTTTGGGTCAGGCAGTGAAGAAATTGAAATAATTCTTAATGAGTTGGGTGCTGGCATGCTACAATCTGCATGCGAGCAATGAACACTGTGCAGGACCCTGCTGTCCCCCCACCACGCTGCAGCACTGGTATGGTACTTGGGGCGGGCAAGGAAGGCTGGACCACAAGGAGGGCCGAAGGTGTTGTATACCTCACACCTACACAGAGGCTGCATTTGTCCACATTCAGGGAATAGGGCAGAGCATAAGTGCTGCTGGTGGCTACCTGGAGACCTGGGCCCATGTGTGTGAGAGACTGACATGATGGAGCACAAGAGGGACGAACAAAAGGGCCCACAGGTGTGAGCCCACACATGCACTCCTTTGACAGGCATGCAGGGCTGCATGACAGACCCACGCTGGAGGGGTCACGCAGTATGTACACACCAGGCCGTGAGGACTGCGTGCCAGGCTCGGGAGGCAGGGTGGAGAGAGGGGCTGTGGCCACCCGCAGCCTTTCACCAGCTGCAGTGCAGAGCCTCTGCATCTCTCCTGCTCTGGGGTCCCAGGCACCTCAGCAGTTCGTGGTAGATCTGCTGTTTGTAGATCAGACATCTACAGAGGGAGCCAGAGAGCTGTTAGAGGTGAAATGCAGGTGCTACAGTGAGAGAGCATGAAGTAGGAGCCAAAAGAGTAATTCTTAGTGCCTGGGACCTCCATAATTTATAGAGACTTCTGTAAACAGGTGGAGGTGAGCTATTATATAAACTTGTCAGTAGGCCTGGACACAGCCAAGCACACATAAGGTTGTGAGTAGACCACGCATCTGTATCATGTGGTCAGTAGTGTACACTATATACCAGGCAAATCTAAGAAAGAGTGGGACTAAACCTCCTTCGTTTCCCCTGGCAAATCAGTGCTTTTGAAGGGTTCCATTCATACCCCTCTTTGTCTAATCTGTTGTTTGTCACGTACGTGGAGTAAGGAAAACCATGGGACAAATACCATCAAGAAACAGAAATAGTCCTTGAAAGGCAAGGTCAGATTTAAATTACATTTGGCCTGTCCCCATTATTACTGCAGGATTCCCTCCTTCTCACATACCTCATGTGTGTCCTGGCCAAGACAGTGCTTGCAAGCCCTTTCCTTTCCCTGAAATTATATCTGATCTGACCGGAGGGGTGAGGAGAGACTCTTCCTCTCAGGATGTAAACAGATATTAACTGCCCTGAGCTCTGCTCGGTGACATTGACGGCTAGATGCTCTGTGGCAGGGCTCCAATAGCAGCGCCAAGTCTGTGATTCATTTCCCCTTCCACAGGGTAGGTGTAATAAGGCCTCCCACTGGGGGAGACAAGACCAAGGAAACAGAGACATGGGTTAACATCTCCCTCAAAGTGGCACCGGGCAGGGGAACATCTACTTGTAGTAAGCAACAGAGCCAGGAGTTCTGCTGCTTTTCCTAGTGTGCTATTGGCATGTTCTGTGATTGTGTTAAAAGTCTGGGGGCTTTGATTTTCCAAGCTGTAAAGTCTATACGGTCTACTGAGATCTTTGGAGAGAAGATGCCACAGAAGGCCCAATTTCACAGCGTCTCATTCCCAGAGCTCATGCAGATGGCATAGTGAGATTTTCCTCACAAGCATACTATTGCTCTTATACAGCCCGAGATTAATTTTTCATTGTAGTATTTCTCTTGAGTTCCAAAACACTCTCTTCCTATATCCTGCACTAACAGAAAACATGGAGCCTTCATTTTTGTCAGTGATATCCCTCCACATTTGTAACTTACGGTGTAACCTGGCCTCACTGGGCTGAAATGTGAGCCTAAAGACTAAAAGATTTGGATCAATGTTTTGCTGACATCGTAGCTCAACCTCAGGAAAAAAAATCTCCTTCGAAAATGCCAGATGGGTACAACGATGAACTTTCTTTCAGGAAATACTAAATACGGAAACCCACTCACTTAGGCAGCTGTGTTACTACAGCATTAATAAAAAACCTACATCTAGTTTTTAAAAGATTAATCTAGATCAGAGAAATCAGAAAATGGAATTCACTATGGAAAAAAAAAAAATAATTCACTGGTCTAGCTTTATTGCCCAAAGCTGATGAAAGGCAGGAAGTGGAACAAATGGCAGGGATGGCCAAAGGGAACAGTGGCTTGCTTATATCATTTGAATATTTAATTATCAACATGTTAAAAGAAACAAAGATTTGCAGGGTTTATTTGGTATTTTGTCTTCAGGGTTAAGCTGTATTTAGGACCTGTCTGCTCTGACTGAAGAAACATAGTCACAAACTAGTGCATGGAAAACCTTTTTTTCATTTATAGTGGTTGCACAATACATTGTATCCTCTTACAACGCCCATTCCAGGTACCTTATAGGCGTCAGTTGCAACATACAGAGTTGATGACATATATAGCACTGGCCCAGTATACTTGGCAAAGCACGGGAAAGAATTCACATGTGCTAGAGAGAGAGCAATTTATCTGGTCCTGTTAATTCAGTCCCATAGCATAATACCTTGCATTTATAAGTTACCTGAAAAACTTCTGCTTCCCATAACAGCGTTAGGCATCATGAGACATTTGAGGCAGAAGTCCCATAATGTACTCATAAAAGCAGAGATAGGAGGCATATTTTTGCTTCTGGAAATCCTAAAACTTTTATATCATCAGCAATGTTTGTAGGATACATAAAACTACTGCAACAAAGGGTAAGATAAATGCTTCATGCAACTAACTGAAGTACTTTGGTATACCGCAAACGACGATTTATCCCTCAACATGTAAACCCAGTATTATCCATCTTCCAAAACACATACTTCCTGTTAGTTTACTTATTCAGAGATGACATGCACCACTCACCTGAGTTTTTATCAGGCAGTCTGTTTATCCTCCATACGATGGAATTAAAGGCATGCTCATATTTGGCAGTCCCCAAAGTTACTCTCATTACTGGCTCTGAACCAGACAGACTGGTTGATCCAAAACTGGCACCCTTGTTCACCTTGGCTTTCAAAGATTTCTCCCCCAGGACGCTCTCCCTGCGGAAGTTCTTCACCCACTCATTTGGCACTGGGTAGCGGATCATCACATTTTCACAAGGGACCTGAGTTAAAGGGTCACGGTTGGAAGAGAACCCCGTGGACATCATCAGCCAGCTCTGCAATTCCACCTCAGCACCATTGATGCTGGCTGCTGTCCTCAGAGTAAAAGGCAAAGTTTTCTCAGCAAAGACAGTTCTGAATCGCATCAGTTCAAATCGGCAGGCATCCAAGGGGTTGAATAGAATAATACGGGAGTTATTAAACATATCTTCATCCACACATGAATGGAACCGACAGCTGTATAATTTAATCCACTTAGTGGTAGTAGTGGGCATAATATCCTGCCTTGCAACTATTTCATTGCCTTTGATCAGGATGTCATTAAGGCCCAGTCTGCATTCTGCCAGGCCAGAAAGGAAGCTGAGAACATAGATATGGGTCAGCACACTGTGCTGGAGAATCACATTGTCTCCTTTGGCCAATATGCCATGAAACTCATCCCTGACGTCAACAGTGATTTCTTCTTCTTGGTAGTTCAGTCCTACTGTGCTCAGATCTGTTGATGAGGCTGGCAAGTTCATCAGTGTGTCCTGCACAGCACTGATGAAACTAAGGAAGTCTTCATAATCTGTAGTTCCCAGCTTGATAACTTGCTCTCTCTCTGCTACATGAGCAATGGCTGGCTTAGGCTGATACTTCTTTTTCTCCTTGTAAGTGGTACGGTCTATCCGCACACTGTGTATCCTTCCATTCTCATCATAGTTTTGGAGTTTGCGCTCTGAAATCTCATGATTGATTTCAAGTTTGAATTCCCGGAAAGGTTTCTCCAGTCCTTTTTCATAAAAAAGCTGTATACATCCACTGTCAGTCAGCTTGACATATATTGGTCCCCAGTGCCTGGATGACATAATATTCTTCTTCTCCGGGATCCTGAGCATCATTGGCCATCCATCCTTTGGTTGAGCTGGTGCCAGGCTAAATAAGTTGGCACCCAAATCATGTGGCATCATGGGGTCATCATCAGGCAAGGTAGGGCTGCTCACGTGATCTGGGTCTCCAATCTGGAGTTGCTTGAGCTGCTCTACAGCATCTGTGTGGATGACACTTTTGTTTGACTCATGGAAACTGATGGTATCAGGTTCTTGGTGGAGAATAATGAGAGAGTCTCTTTGGCTTTTGCCTGGAGCACTAGCCACAGAAGAACTTTGGGAACGCCTGTCTCGCTCCTCAAAGAATGAGCTAAATGGATTGATGGGTGAGGGTTGGACATCTCGCAGAGATTCATCCAAGAAGGGATTAGTAGCACTCCACGGTGGTGTTTCAACAGAAGGCAACTTGGTTAAGGAGGAAAGATCTAGCTTTTGAATTTTGGAGAGGTCACCCAATGTGCTTTTAGGACGTTCTCTTTTCTTAAAGGATGCAGTGAGGTTAAAGTTGACATCTGGAGTCTGTTTTTCTGGAGGTGGGGTGTCTGTTTTCAAGGGAGAAAGGTTCTGTGGTGAAAAACTGACTTCATTGTCATCAAAAGTCACCCAGCTGGGAAAGCGAGCTGTGGTTGGGGTAGCAGAATGCCCATTCATGGAGGTGTTGTTCAGCTGCCAGTTGACAGCCTCCATATCTACCTCTTCATCTTCCTGGAGAGATGAGGAATTGTCTTTAAAAAAAGAGGGGAGGGAGGGAGAAAAGAGAAATTTCAGCTAATTTTTCTGAAAGTTGATACAATAGTTTACGTGCTGGAAAAAGTCAAAAAACTTGGCTAAAATGGTTAAGTATTCCTTTTCTCTCATTTGCCTGTTTTGTTCCCTCTCTTCCTTGTTCTGTTTTATTCCTTTCTATGCCCATGCCCTCCACTTCAGAGGACGATCCAGTGGGAAGAAGGACTAAACGCTGAGGAAGGGCACTCCTCCACTCCATCTCCATTTACCTGCCTTCACTTTTGCTGTTATTGCAAAAGTATGTCGGGATATGGTGAAAGCACTATACAAGAGGCCTAGGTGACATTTATTGCACAAGAGAGGCTCTTTGGGTTACCCAATGGAAAACAGTCAGCCAGTCCTTGGATATCTCTGATAAATCTCTAGGAGAAGCTGTGGTCTAGGGATGTACGTTAGGATAAGGTAAAACATAATTTTTGATTTGTGTTGTGGAAGCTGTCCTCACGCTCCGTCAGTACATGTCACCCATGACTGCTATTCTCCTAGTCTCAGGTTCTGCCAGGACATTTCCTCAGAAGCCTGCATCATCCTGTGCTATTTCAGTCCCAGCTGTTTCTGGAGAAGATAGCTGCAGTGGTAATAAGCTGTTTTCCAAAATGAACATCATTTCTCAGAGTTCAGAGATGAAAGAGTTTTCTTCCCACCAGGCTGATGAATCAGAATGCTTCTCAAAATGGACAGTCTGCATGGAATTATAATCTGTGGCTGCACCACAAGTTTGTTCTACATGTGATACAGCAGTGCTAGCTAGCATTCGTGCCTTAGCTTCTGATATATATATAGATCACATGTTTTACCAGTCACTGTTCTTCAGTACAAGCAGAAAAGTGACTGCAAAAAGTAGCACTTTGGCATGGCTGTACATAGCTAATGTGAGCATACTTTATGTTATTAACAACAACAACAAAAACATTTAAGTCAGCATTTAAATTGCCACCAGTTCCCAAAAATGATGACCTTGGTTCCCGTTCTGCCTCATTCATATTTTAAGTACTAAGATTTATTATAATAATTGGGAATTATGCATGAAGCAAAATGACCTCAATTTGTTTTTCCAGTCATGGCTTTGTGGTGGCAGTGATAATAATAAAAATAAAGCAACAACAACAGGAACAATGTATAGCTTTTATAGACTACCCATACATTTCGCAGTGTTTTCAGAAAAAAAGTGGCACTATCTCAATTTCTCAGATTTTGTTCTCTACCCTTCCCGTTCATTCCAAGCTTTGCACAATGCCTATCCATAGTCCCTCCTACTGGCTGCACCACTGGGTACAGTGGTGGGTCCCTTATTCATTAAGTTTTGCCACAGTCTGTACATAGATTTTTGGAAAAAAATCCTGACTATCATCCACAACCACATCCTAAAGTGAGCTCCAGAAAATAATTAAAAAAACATGAGTAATCTGATGCTGTCCCAATCCCCTGGTTCACACCACTGACGCTACTGCACTGTCTCATACCTTCCCAAGGACCTGGTCAGCAAACTTGTACTTCTCTGAAGCAAAGCAAGAGCAATGAAAAGATGTGATAGGGAAAATCCGGCTTTTATGGTATTTCTGGGAAAACATTCCTCATTCCTTTAAGGACTTCTAACACTCCTGTGTTAACAAGATCAGGGTTTCTTATGACCATACCTTTTCCCTGTCTGCAGTTGTAATTTTCCCTTTTTTTTGTATCTTAGCTTTTGACTTGCAGAAACACAATGTGATTCCACAGAGTATTAACAATTCTGTTAAGTTTGAGATAGGCAGATGAGCAGACATCCTTGGGAGTCCTTATGAAATACACACAGAATTCACCTGACATTTCTTTCTCAGCTGAACATTTGTAAAGCATTACAAAATGCTATAAATGTAAAGCTTTTTTGATACAGATGCCCAGAAATATAGCAGAAGAATTAAGAGAGGATGGTTTTATAAATGTAAGCATTTGTGTAATTTGTTTTTAATAGAAAAATCAATAAATTGTTATTTGATTTGATATGTGGGAATGTCAAATCTAGGAAGCGAAAGAGTCTTTCCTTCTCAAAGTAAAATTAAAAATACCTTCTGCTGCTGTCAAGGAAACATACAGTTGGGTTTACAAATATTTGAAGAATATAAAGGTTGTTCTAGAAAGGACAGGTTTTTAACTTTCTCTATGAGAATAAGACTAATAGCAGGGAGGCTAAAATAATAATACGATAATGCAGCTAAGCATCCAAAGAAAGTTCCCAAGAACTAGATGAAATAGTCTGTATATCCCAAGAGAAATACTGGAACCTCTGTTACAAAGGCAAATATAGCATGGTGACAAATCTTGACATTGCCAGAGGATAGCTTAGATGATGATTTGAGATTTTTCCCATCTTGACTTTCGAGAAGTTCATGAATGCTAATATTTAAAATGCAAAGGTCCTTCAATCTGGCAACACCCCAGTAGGTCTGGGAGAGGGCAGTTATGAAAGCAGTTCCTTAGATGAACAGTTAAGCTCATCACTTGACTCCCTTGCCTTCCTAAGTGTTTTAAAAATTCCTTTCTACAAAATAAAACAAGCAGATGGCTTGCTGATAGGGTGCAAGACAGTCTTGTATCCAGACAGAAAGTGGCTCCTGATGGAGAAAGGTTAGTTCTGCATACACAAAAAGAGATGTGATCAAAATAAAGCGGGTAGTTTTTCCTTCTGGACTGACATACATTCTTCACTAAGCAAATGACTTTGATGGGTGTTTCTTGCACAATTAAAACATTTTTAATTTTCTGAATGACCTTGCTAGATTCCAGTCTAACAGGTTGCTCCAGCCCAGCTACAAAACACAGCAGCAGATTTACCAAGGAGGTGAAGGGGACAGTGGCTGTGTTTCTTTTCACCAGTGAAACCAGCAATGTGTGCGCTCTTAGGTAAGCCGTGCCAGACTGCCCACACAGCTGTGCAGCTCAGCTCTCACTCCCTGCCTGCATGGTGCTTGCGCACTGGCCGAACCTTACTAAATACATGCCTGAACATCATTACTAAGCCATTAAACAATTTGGAAACTTAAGTCCCTGGTGAACAATAAAATGCCCAGCTGCACTGCATGTTTTTCCTTCCACAAGCATCTTAATGTTTTGGTGGCTTTACAAGTGTTCAGTAGAAAAGAGGCTAATCATTTCATTATGATAAACTGGACAACAGTATTACAGTATAACGGACGTAGAACATCTCACTGTGATCAGTCTCTTATAACTCACTACAAGGAAAGAAGGCTTTCGTTCTCTTTTTTGTTTCATCTTTTCATTTTTCTATTTTGGCCTAAATCAACATCTTGAAACAGCTAGGTAGTATCACTTTACTTCTGCCTGGGGGAAAGGTAGCTGTTAAAGGCTCCTGATACCTTGCAAACTGTTCATGATAGAAACTGTGCCACGAAAGTAGGAAGAGAGTATTGGAGACCTCTCAAAAAGAAAGCCAGATGATATTATTACTTTGAGAATTACTTTGAAATGGATCTGAGCAAAAGCCTAGATTTCCAGATCTCTGAGTACTTGTCTACTTTGCCTCTTGACATAAATTAGCTTGGACTGAGCTTCACAGCTAGGCTATTTCTGTTACCTGAATAAATACATTTACATTCAATTCAGATAGCTCTAATTTACTTCAGTGTGTAGTACAGGCATACTCTTAACATCGTCACAACTTCCAACGGGGTGCTTTTCTCCAATATAGCTGGCATCAGTCCCTCAAACAAAACAGACATTGTTATTTTTTCTGTTGGTATAGCTGAGTCTGTTTTAGGACTTTTGCTGGAAAGTAATCTGCATGAAGTCTACCAGACACGGATATATGGGCAGGCAATACTTTAGACTTAGCCTTTGTAGATCAGCCAGGTCAAGAGAACAACAGTTTCCAAAACCGCAGTGTCTCTGCATTCATAAGCAATAACAGACACGCAGAAAATGCAGATAAATAGAACCTCAGTGAAATCACAGATTAGGCTGTTGGGCAGTTACCTCCCCCGGGCAAAGGTTATCCTTTCACGTATTTTCTGTGAAGTCCATATACGGTTACTTCCTTGCATTTCTTTTTCCAAATCCAAGTCCCAACAACTGCGTCTGACCACTTTTTTTAGTAGTCTGTAGTGTGTCTGATCCTCCCAAAGGAGATGGCATAGTTTAAAGTGAGCGGGCTGTCACACTGAAGCGATACAACACGACTCCTATTTCCAGCCTTGCCACTGACCTGCTATGTGACTGAGAAAAATGCCTCATTACTTTCACTTTCGGCTTCTGCGTCTCTTCCTATTTGTTATATTTTTTGATTAATAAGGGTATAAACGTGGAACAGTGACTCTTTCTCTGTATTACAGTTCCTAGCATATTTCTAAGACTTCCCAGCGCTCTACTGGGCATGTCATAATTTAGAAGTTTAGAGTTTAGAAGGGAAAGTCCCAGTTTTTCTGATTTTTAATCACTTTAAAATCATTAAATTTTCAATCATTAAACTCTTGCCTAATAATTCAAGGCAAGTAAAAATGGGTAGTTTATTTTTTGAAGAGGTTCATGCAAGTATTTCATAAATCTAAACAGAACGTCTGTCTCTTAGCCAAATTTTATATCAAATTACTATGCCAAACTCACCTAGAACACAGTGTAATTGTGTAAACGTCACAGAAATTGGATATAAATGTATAAACCGGTGCAACAAATATATCTGCTATGTCAATGCACTTGAGAAGAGTTTGAAGTTTGGTATAAACTATGAAGCCAGCACAGCTTTTGTAAGCTTTCCTGTTTATCGCAGCTCTGTTAATGGTGGACAGTCAGATGTGTTACTGCTGCAGACATCAGTCTAAATTTCTAAACAAGGCTACTGTGGAAAAATGCCATGTATATTAACTGCAATTATCTGCAACTCAAAGCACATACGGCTTCTTGTCAATGGGAAGTTATCGCCTATTCACTTTGCACAGAGGATATC